AGTATAATAAAGCATAACAGATTTGGATTGAATTTTCACAACAGAATGACATTAAAATACCAAAAAAAATGTTTTTAGAACTACTTTTTTTTTTTTTTTTTTACATAGAATAGTATCCTATAGAGGAAAAGGGTAAATCTAAGCTTCATCTTTATTAAACGTTTTTTTGGTTTTCCTAATTTTAAAGCTAAAAATGCTAAAAAAAAATGTTGGTCGTTTGAAATGGAAACTGCAGTTATTTGAAAAAAATTAAAAGTTTTGTTTTATTTATATGGTCATAATTAGTCAAAAAATCTTCCACATTTGCAGCTCTTACCAACTTTTAATCAGCCTGACTCGGGACAAAATGGCTTTGGATATTAAAGGTTGCAGACCCCTGAGTTAAGGTGACCCTCACCATGCTCAGTCTAACATAGGCCTTCCTGCTTCAGCCACTGCAGTGCAGTCAGGTCACACTAACAGGAGTCACAGGGGGAGATGGTGGATGGTTGCAGCCTGCAGCTCATTAAAAAGCTCAATCCTTTCTGCTTGTTTCTGGCCAGACTGCATGGTGGATTGGTGGGCGCTCGGCGTGTGTCTGTTCGAGTTCCTCACGGGAGTGCCGCCTTTTAACGACGAGACGCCTCAGCTGGTTTTCCAGAATATCATCAACAGAAGTCAGAACACCAAAACAAAGCCTTTATGCTCATGGTTCTTTGTTTCCAGCCAGTTGAAGAGATTTCCTTTACCTCCTGTTTACAGACATCCCCTGGCCTGAAGGAGAGGAGGCACTGTCTGCAGAGTCAAGGAACGCCATTGAAATCCTGCTCACCATGGACGTGACGAAGCGTGCTGGCCTGAAGGGTAAGAATCAAACCTGGAAAACTGCAGCATGTCATGACCTGTATCTATCTGCTTGTTTTGGGGTTTTTTAGGGCTGAAAGAGGATTTACTAACAGACTATTAAAATCATTGTAAAAATCTAAAAACATTTTTTAAAACTTTTTTTTTCTACCATTGTCAATAAATATTTTCTATCCAGAAGTTTTTAAGTTGTATAATTTTACCTACACCTTTTTTAAATTTGGTGTAAAACCCTTTTTAAGGCGACGGTTTATAAGCTACGACAGAGTATTAGGGCCAAGCTAGACATTTTTTTTTTTTCCTATTTTGAGAATAAAGTCGTAACATTATGAGAATAAAGTCGTAATATCACGAGAATAAAGTTGCAACAAGAATAGTCATAAAATTACGAGAGTAAAGTCGCAATGTTACGAGAGTAAAGTCGCAACGTTACGAGAGTAAAGTCGCAACGTTACGAGAGTAAAGTCTCAACGTTACGAGAGTAAAGTCTCAACGTTACGATAATGAAGTCTCAACGTTACGATAATGAAGTCGCAACGTTACGAGATTGAAGTCATCATACCACGACCCGTTACAGAAAGAAAGCTTCGAGCTCTGACCAGCATATGACAGCTGACCAGCGCCACCAAACAGTAACCCAAGTCCACTTTGACCTGCTGCCCAATTTGATGCTGATGTACTAAAAGATTTCCTTATTTGTCAAACTAGAGCCAACATATAACTTCATATGATGCTTGACATTACTCATTTTAGAGAAGAAAGGGCTTCTTGTAGGAGTTGTCATTAAATACAACTTGTTTCTCGTAATTTTAGGACTTTATTCTCTTATATTACGACTTTATTCGAATAAATTTTATGACTATTCTCATTGTCTCTTTTTTCTCGTAATATTATGACTTTATTCTCGTAATGTTACGACTTTATCCTTGTAATGTTACGACTGTATTGTCGTTGTGACTTTATTCCTGTAATTTTACTTTATTCTCGAAATAGAAGAAAAACAAATCTCTAGCCTGGCCCTAATACTCTGTCGTACTAAGCCGATTGCGAATCGATTTATTTAAAAGATAATTAATAGATTAATCGCCTAGTAATATAATCACTGCAGCTCTAGTTTGTGTCGAACCTAAAAGATTATCAGTGCAGCACGGCTGGGGTCTACAGGAAGTTTGAACTTTAAACCCTCTGTGGATCCTTGCCTCAGTGCTTATGCTTATATGGATAAAAGCATGTGGAGAGAAAAGGACCAACTAGAACAAAATGAATAACGTAAAAATTGTAAGATTATCAGACTGGAATGAATTTGTATTCTGAACGAGAGGGATGGTCATAGCATGTCTCGTTCTATGATGATCTCACAGTGGAGATACACTGATGACAATTTCAGACCCCTCCATTATTTCTAGGCAGGAGAACTTGCAAAATAAATGGGTTTTCAAATATTTATCTTCCTCACTGTATGAAAGAACTTATTTTCTAACATGTAGGATCAGCTTAATTAGTTCTGCAAATCTCTCAAGGTGGCCTTTGAGTTTTGATGCCTACACTCTGTGGTGATATTTAGAATGTCTAAAATTAGCCTAAAGTATTTGAATATGTTGAGAAGAGCATGCAGTGTAGATTTTTTTTCCCATTTTGTTTCCCTGTGTTAATTTTTAAGCCTCAACAAGTCCAAACATTTTAATTTTATTTATGAGCTTATCAAGTTTATTCTTTAACTTTATATACATCATTTCCATAAATGCTTTGAAATTCTTACTGATCATCATTTAAATAAGGGAAAACTATGAACAGTGACATCTTTATAATGAATATGATGAAACCAGCCTGAAAGGAGGAATTGCATTCAATGACTAGTGAACGTTAACCCTGGTTTATTTATAGCCTGTTTTTCTTTGATTTTCCACATTTGACCTCACTTTTAACATTTCACCCATTAGTATGACTTGGTCAGGAATCAAGGGGGGATTTCACAACCTGTTTGCTCACTAAACTTCAAATTCAGGTTGAGCTGGACCTTAGCTCTGGCCTAAAGCCAAACAAAACACTAAAACTGCTATTTATGGAAAATTTTAAACAGGATTAAAGATACCAAAGTTCACAAACAGCGCTTTTAGGAAGCTGCATTCAGGCTGAGATATGTTGCACCTCATTTGACAAGAATCATAGATATGTTTAAAATATTTTAAAAAGCAACTTACCTAAATCAGTCTTTTAAGGGCAGAAACTACATATTACGGTACTAAATGAGGAAGGTCATTCTAATGTTGAGTTTTTGTTTTTTAATTGTGGAACCCGTAGATATTAAGGGTCCTTCACTATTTTCCTCATTGTCACAAGTGTACAAAACTCACACTTGAAGGGGCTCATGTTATCACATGCTTTATTGTACCCATTGAAATCAATGTTCACTTTTATTTGATGATTTATTTCGAACATGTTTTTAAGATTGCAAAGTATTCAGCCACAATAAGTCTACCTAAAAGCACCCACACACGTCCAAATGGAGTAGGTCTGGAGTAACGAAGCCCAAAGACCAGACTGATGCTTTGTTGTTGCCTTCTTCAATAACAATGATTTTGTCTTATTGTTCACATTTAACCTCGTCCAGAACTGAAGCAGCACCCTTTGTTTGAGGGGCTGGACTGGGACAACCTGCAGAACCAGCCGATGCCTTTCATACCTCAGCCGGAGGATGAAACCGACACCTCGTACTTTGAGGCGAGAAACGACGCTCAGCATATATCTGTGTCTGGCTTCAGTCTATAGCCTCTGGCCTAAACTGCACTGATTTAAATAAATAAATGTTCTGTTAACTGGTTCTATTTGAAAATAAAAAATGTTTATGCATGTGCAATCACTGTTTATAGGAGCTGGTTGTAGAAAGTATTTTAAAACTTTGTTTATTTGCTGATTCAAGAAGTTTTAAATTATAATTTTTGCTTGTTAACTTTATCATCTGCAGGTTAAGGTGTTACTTTTGCATGTAGATCTGTTCTCTCTTCTGCCGCCATGTTTCTCTCTAAAATAATCACCAACTTATCTGTGACTTGGCAGGCGGGCCCCTCTCTATTCAGAGGTTTAATAAAACGAAGGAAGACTTATTATTATATAGTGCACATGTTGAATATGTAGTCTGATTTGTTTTTAAGTGGGACTTCAAATTAAACAGGAATTTCCTGCTTTTATGTCTTTTGATCTTTATTTCTTTGCTCCCTGCACTACTTAATTCACCCTCAGGACGGTTTGATTTTATTTGCTTTATCGAATTGGGGAAAATACAAATAAAATGTGTTTGCTACATGATCAGACTTTAATAAACTTTTAAAACAAATGGTTTTTTTTTTCTGTTTTTTCCAAGTATTTCAGATTTTTATTTTATTTTCCCTTTACCAACAACATACTTTTATGAAAGATTGATTGAAAAGGACAGACAATCCAAATATTACCATTTAGGAGATGACAGAATTCTTAAAGGTCAGTTTAGGATTAGCAGTCTGGCTAATTAGAGCTTAATTGCAGTCAGCATTAGCTGAACAAAAGAATTGAAATTATTTTAGTTAGCATCTAATAATTGTATTCTTTTAGTAGGAAACTAGTGAAATAATTGAAAAGTTTTTGGTTTTATACGCTACAGGCATTAATGATGTAGCATGGCTAATTGCTGCAGGATGTAGAATAGGATCAGTTTAAATTTCTGAGGTACAGCTGCAAAGTTGTATAATATGATCTAATTTCTTGATTAAAGGTGTGCTGGGATAGAAATATCAGGAAAAAATGTTTCTAAACTTATTGATGCTACTGCAGATCTGTGAAGTGTCTAATTACTGTTTTGAGCTGTGGAAAAATCCCTGATAGAAACCATTTTGAAATGGTTTAAGTGATTTATTCTTCACAATTCAACTCACTTTAGAGGAGGATATTGGAAAACATGAGACCAAAGTTTAGTTTTTTTCTATCTTAAATAAAAATGTTATACATAAAATGTGTAGCAGTCATGGTAATATGGGTGCTACTGTAACAGTATCATGATTAGAGCCAGAATTAACTTTCTTGTATGAAATTATCTGGATGATCCAAATCAATGGAATAAAATTGATTCATCTGCAATCAAAACATATTCATTTTTTTTCCCTTCACACACTCAAACTGCTTGGTCAAAACTTTATTTCAGGCTGTGATTATCACATGCATACACCTCTCTGCACAAGCAGAAGGGGTGAGAAATGTTTCAGTACATTATAATAGAAAGGTAAACCATTTTTCTCGTTATGAAAACATATTTTCTCTGAAAAGATCAGCTTTAATTAGTGCGCCAATCTCTGTAAATATTACATATTAATCTACAATTAGTACATAAATGCAATTAAAATATTGCATTAAAGGTCTGAACTGTACAGCTACTGTATATAATTAGTTTTCACTGCTTTGCAAACAGAGGATTCAATCCAAATCTTTAGACAACAATTAAACACAACCATAAAAACGATGCTGCATTTTATAAATGATTAGAAATCAGAGTGGAAGATTCTCTTGTTTAACGTTAATTTGGCCCATACCCGGAAGAGCTAACTTGTAATGCAACGCCATCTACTACATGATGATGAGGCACTTTTTCCTAGAGAAAATGAAAAGTGGAACATAAACTGGCTTCTGATATAAAGCAGTGCACATGAGACAAATTTAGATCAGTTTACAACAAAGTTATACATTTTTTACAGATAAAATCTTGTCTGTTGAAAGTAATTAAAAGCAATAAATATTACCTGGAAACACTCACATCTCAATGCGATTTTACATTCGGCATATATATATTCTACAGTTATTATCACACATTTTAATATAGCAGCATCACCTGGGCAGCTAATGAAATAACTAAACTTTTGTGCAACAAAGCCTAAGATAGGGAAATAATCAAGTAGCTACGGTAGTTGGTCTACATCCATACAACCGTTTCGTCACAGACCGTTATAACTGAAAGACAGATTCTAGTACAGTTTCACGACTAAATCAAAAGCCCGTTCAACATTTCCCTTCCACGACGTAGCCGGAGTGCGGCTCACTGCATACTTCAATGCTCCACTCATCCTTTGCTCCACGGTTTCCTTCTTCGAAGTGCAAAAGCTAATTACTGGCTGTTGAGTTTAATTAGGATGAGGAGGCTGCAGCCGGACTGGATTGAAGACAGTTCAAGTCCTGTCCTAAGCTGGATCAGTTGATGCGTCTGGCAATAAAAAAAAGAGACAAAAAATACATAAAACCAGTTAGTCCGGCAAAAAAAAACCAATGAGTGCATGTGGATGCAAAGGTAATACCTTCCTCTCCTCTGCAAGAACAGACGGATAAGCCACTGAACCACAAAAGGCCAGACAATGGCAAAGGCCAGACTGGTTGGTGAAATGTCAAAAGGCCACCATGATGGGTTCTAGAAGAACACACAGATGTTTCAAGAAGAGCATTGCATAATAATTTGACCAAAAGTCAAACTCAAACCATTAATAAAGCACCCATGCAGTATAAACCCTACCCGATTCTTCTTGTTGGTCTGAGGCGATCCATATGTAGGCAGAGTCACTGATCTCGTCTGCAAAAAAACGGGGAAAAAAGAAGGATTTTTAAAAGCAGTCCAATTTATCTTGTTCATATGAAGCAGTCTGACAGAGAGAAATGTACCATTCCATCAGGTTTCTCCTTTCTGTGCAGAGGTGGCTGACATTTACCACCATTGTTGTTTTTTATCTTTTTAATTTAACATTATCTGAATAGTCTAAAAGATCATCTATAAAATGTTTTTTTTTTCAGAGGACTTGAAATTAAAATGTCCTGAAAAAGGCTACTTATCTTTTCATTACCTTTTTTTATTCATATTAAAATTTTATTTTTAGTTATGGATACACTGAGGATGTTCCCAGCGTTGTGAAAGGTTGAGTGTTTGCTCTTTTATGTAAACAACCACATTGGTTCCTAATCTGAACAAATAGATTGATTTTAATCACATTTTCAGGGTTTGGTCAGATAGCCCAACGGTTTAAATGTAGCATTAATTCATCTACAGTTATATAAACCTCAATTCAATACTGAAATATTGTGTCCATCAGTTATTAGATATATCAAACTGAAGTAGCTGTTGCCAACACCTCAATATTTAGAGATAAAAATAATTCAGATTAATAAGGGTGCCCAAACTTTTTCATATGAATGTATCTCCAACCTGATCATCTATTATCATCATTCGAAGTGTTATTTTTTCGCATGTTAAAGCTACTTGATAAAGACGGTTTTATTTCTATTGGAGGGTTTTTTTTCTGAGATACTTTGGGAGTTTTCCCCGCTGAAAATAAAATTGCTTAATATTTTACGAAGAGTCTTTAAACAGGAACCTAGAAGACTGCTGGTATTAAAGACTGAAAGAAGGGGTTTGATTAAATAACTCTCACTTCATTGCATGAGCTACATTTGTCATTTTTTTACTGAAGTGTTTCATAAAGGTACATTTCTGAACTTTAAAGTTTTTATTTTTATTTTTTTATTCTTCACCTACATGCCCTAATAATTGCATGCTATGTTACATGAGGTTTCCTTTATTTACCCCCAGTAGCATCTATAGGATCTATTAATTGATGAGGCAGTGATTTAGGCTGAATTCTCTGGCAGCGTCTTTGGGTGTTAGCTGTTGTGCTGCTTTGTTGGGTCTCCACCTTAGCGAGAGAACAAGGGTGGGGTTTGTGAAGATGGATCACAAAAGACAAGCAACTAGTGCACCCCAAACCCCATCACAAGTAAGAGAATAAAACTAATGAACTAACAGACCTCTCTGCCCTGGAAAGGAGTTAAATGCAGTTAGCCTTCTTTTTGCTAAAATGGTGGTATCTGTTCAAAACCATTTTAATATTTCTACTTTTTTTTTTTACCCCAGCTGATATAAGTCCTCTAAACTAAAACCTTTTCCAGCTGCAGACTGCTGGGCTTTTTCCTCTTCTCCCATGTGTGAGCACAACACTGCAGTCATCAACAGAGAAGGAAAAAGGTCTGGAAAAACTCTGGAACTTCACTATGCTAAAACAGAAATTGGGGCCCATAAATAGATAATGTGTTAAGCAAATAATTCCTTTCTGGAAACACAAACATTTTCTTTATAAAAATAACCTGAATGTTTGTGGCCTGTAACCTAGCAAATTAAATTTAGATGTTAACTCATAGGTAATCACCCCTGTTCTGGGAAAAGGCCTCGGAGGTTAGTTAGAGAACATCAGTGAGCAAACAGCCTCATGATGTCAGTCACCTTCAGCCCATGATCTACACAGTGAAACATAGTGGTGGAAGTATTATGCTGCGAGGTTTTCCTTAAGCAGACGAAGGAGGGTGAATGGAGATGAATACAGCTTGGGTTATTTCTGGGTACGGAGAAGCAGAGCTTTGGCTGCTAATCAGAGCAGAGTGAATCCTTCAGGGAGGTGTGTTAACGCACATATTTAAGTTTGGATTGTAGGCGGTTGCGACATCTTTTCTGGGGAACTCTGTGTCTTTTAGAGGGAAAATGTGTTCGTGTGCGAGCTTGTCAGAAAGCACAAACAACACAAATAAAACGACTTAGTCTATGTAGGACAACATAAAGAACTACAAAAAACTGCTGTGTTCTATAATATGGCATCCCGCTTATATAACGATAAATCTTTTTGTTGAAGACAAAAACATATAAGATAAGATTTTCTATTCTTAGACACAAAAAAAAATCAGATAAACTCTAAAAGTAGTTATTAACCTGGAAATTCACAATAATCTATTTTGGCCAGACTAGCAATTAGAGCAGATGAATAGAGCATGTTGGAGGTTAGTAGGGAACTAAAACTATATTTAGGATTTATTTAAACAGTTAAAAATAAAGCCTGAAAGGCTGGAAATGTTTAAAAATATTCTGTTTGATGAAATGAAATAAAAGCCAACAGTAAGAACCAGTATTCCTGTCTAACATTGTTGGTGTGAGGCAAGGAACCGACAGGACTGGCTGGTCTGACCTGGTTGGCTGTTAGAGCCTCCAAGGTCCTTAGTCTTTCCAGAACACTCTGCATGTCTTCCTGCAGTCTGGCCAGCGCCACCACAATCTGCTCGTTCAGGCTCACTGCGGGTGTAACGGCGCCTCCCCAGCGCTCCCCGTCTCCATCCCCACTGCTGTGCATGGGGACCTGAGGTCCTGGACCTGGGGACCTAGAACCTGGAAAGCAGAAAAGGATTTTATCAGCTGTTTTTTTTAATCTTAATTAGGCTCATATGGTTTGTATTTCATAACTTTAAACTGATTATCCAGTTTAGTCTTGAAAAACCCAACAAAAATACTTAAAGAGATAAAACTGCTTTCATTACTTAAAACTTGTAGACATTTCATAAATATTTTTTTGTTTTATCCTTTTTTTAAAATCTAATTTTGGACAAATTGCGAATGTGCGAGGCTTTAATAGCTCAACTATTTCTTTTAAATAAACTGCCTTAAAGGCCTTTTTTTTTTAAAGCTTTATATAATAGAAGCTTTAACGTCCTGGAGGTTGGTCCTCACCTTTTCCCCTTCTGGCTGAAGCACCATCTGGCATTTCCACGTCCAGCCTCTGTCTCTGTGACACCGTCCCACCCGTCTCCCCCTCTTCTCCTCCACACCTGACGGCCTGTGGAGGATCCTGAACGTCCTCCTCTGCGTGTCGTAGTTGACTCTCCTCTTCTTCCAGGTCATCCAGAGAGCGGTTATGTTCCGAGTTCTGGAGTAAAAGGAGACATCTTTAGGGGAGTGATTTAATAAATCTGATCCAGGCTCATGTTTGTGAGGCTCTGACTTGCCTCTTCTTGGCCAAACTGGTCCACAGAATCACAGTAGACTTCACTGTCTGAGTCACTGGTAACCAGATTGGGTCTCGCATCTAAAATAAATACAAAGACAACATCATATTTTTTTGTGCGGCTTGTTTATGGTTTTCAGACTTTCTACACAGAAGAAACAGTGAATTAATGGCTGCCTGTCCTGTTTATTCTGACTGATCCAAACCAGCCCAGGAGCAGCCAAGGTGTGAATCTTTACTGGAGCTTTACTGCAGCTCTGAGAATAAAGCTTAGCAGATTATCTGGTCACATGCTGCTCTTAAACCCCAAGCAGGGGCAGGCAATGTTGGAGGAGTCCTCATCACGCTGCAGTTCTAAATACAGCAGAGCCAATATGGAGGTTTTCCTACCTGCATGGTGTCCATTCAGCAGAGGCTCCCCGGCTGAGACTTCCTGCACATCGCCGTCTCTGGGATGACCCCCGTTGACCACATGGGAGCCACCATTAGACAGTTTACCATTCTGGAGGGACACTCTGTGTCTCCTGGTGGAACTTTTCTTCTTGGGCTGTGCTGCTAAAGTAAAACACAACAGGAGCAGTGATAAGAAAAAAATCAGCAATACAAGGGATAATCGTCTCACAATAGGGAGCAATATCAACCTTTTCTGATTTCTATTATGTCCTCCTTCTCTTCTTCCTCATTATCATCATCATCCTCCTCATCATCATCATCATCGTCGTTGTCGTCTTCCTCTTCGACTTCTTCACTCTCTCTGAGCCTGGCGGGCCGAGTCTCCAGAGTGCCGTTCATCTCCATGTTTCTTATTATGCTTTTTGCAATACTTTTTGATCCCACTGTGTCCAGCATCGTTCCAAACCCTGAACAAAACAAACAAAATAATAATTATAATACTGGGAAACTCCACACAAAACTAAACTTTACTTAAACTCCATCTTTATCTCGTTTCTGTACTTTAAGAGGAATAACAAACATCTTTATGAAATAATCAGCAGCTAGAAAAAACGATTTCTTTATCCTAAAACGTGTGCGTAACAGAGGGAACAGTGCCGCCAACTAACACTAAAAGCAGCTGATCTGAAGCAGCACACAGATTCTACTCTACGTCATGAGAGCACAGTCAGATACTTGCCTTCCAGTTGCCTAGCAAACTTGGTTAAACGGGCTGAGCAGATAAGAGGCAGAGAGAGTTAAGCTTGGTCGTCCCGTTTCTGTCACCAGGAAGTAGAAGGTAGAGTCGGCGCTGTGGGCCACAGACCTTACCTGTACTCAAGTCTGATATCTGCGTGACTTTTTTCTTCTCATCAATCAGCTCATAGAAGGGTCCGAGGACGCGCAGCAGCTCCTCCACCTCGTCAGTCATGGGCATTCCCTCCAGGATCTGTGAACGAAATCCAATAAACCTTAAGGATTTTTCCCAATGGGAAATAATAACCTTCATAATAAATGTATGAAGCAAATAAAATATTTTACTTCATTGTGTTTTCTAAAGCAAGTGAAAATTTTAAAATCCTTCTTTGTCAGCAGGAAATGAGTGAACTTTAAGCGGAAAAAAGGACTTGAGAAGTAAGAATTTATCTTCACTGCATTTTACAAAAATAACTCAATCGGGATGTGAAGAAGACCACAAAGGAAACCAATAGTTGTTTGTGTGCCATAAATGGTAGCCAGAAAGAACTTCTTCCTTAAAGTGTAGTTTTCACTTTTTATGTGTCTTTTGTTTCCCGAAAACTACATGATGTCTGCAGATGACCTTAACTGCCACTTAAAGATTACCCTGAATGGACATGTTTGGTTTTATTTTGGTATTTGCTTTATTATTGACCCTAGAGAAGCATATGCCTGAACACATATCAGTATTTTAACTTCTGTTAGACTTACTACATGTGTAGCATTAGCTTGAAGGGGGTTTAGTGGACCAATCACTGTGTTCTTGCAGTAAACTAAGAAGAATGAGTGCTATAAGGGGCTTTTCCCTTATAACATAAAAACTATTTTGCTGTCGTTAAACCCACATAATGGAAACAGCCTGGTTATGTGGTTTAATTGAATACAGAAGGATTATGAGGCAAGTTGTGTGTCAGTGCATCTAAAAATAAGAAATCAGGTCAGAGCTGGAGCAGAAGAGACATCAAACTGAGCATTCTTATGCTTTGAAATCCTCCCATAGTGTGCTGGTTTGTTAGGTCTCTAAATCCCACCTCTCAGCAGCATTCTAACGAGGACCCTAAATGGAAGTTGTAGACTTTTCTGTGGGTCAGACCTGCTGTAATGTAATGGTACTCCAGCTCAGGTTCGAAACATTGTTCTAACTCTCCCTCAACTTTCAGAAAACACCTTAGCTTTTTTTAGTATTTGCTTATCCAAATGAAAACAACCATCATCAGCTACAACACCAAACAGACAAGTCTTGATCACAAAATTTGAAAAATCAAGAAGACCAACCAGCTTCATTTGGTCGACATAGGCTGCCATAGCTTCTTCTTCAGGCATCTCTCCAAGGGAATTCCACGCATCCCTATTAAAATTAACGTAAAAAGGAAAAAAATGTTTATTAAAAATCAAAGTGATTAAACTAAGAGATAAGTATCAATCTAATTAGAATGTTTTTACATAAGACATAAATATTTAAACAGTAATGATGGATATCATGCTTCCGTTACTCGTCAGCCTTTAGCACAGTCAAAGTTCAAAGTCTGAACAGAGTCTGGATTGAACATGTTTACTTAAAGTGTTTTTTTTTTCTTCACATCTCCAATAAAACATATTTATTAAATAGGATCTATGTCACCTTTGTGCTAGTTCCCTGCTTTTCAAACAGACCCAGTTTACCCAAGGTCAATGTGTTCCCTGCAAGCCTTCGGCTCAAAGGTTGAGTAAAACCCCACCCGCTGTCGGTAGCTATGATTTCAAACATTTTCAAGCAAGACCCAACAGAGAAAGCTGTCCGGCTCTGTGGGTAAGAGGTCACATTCCAGACCCAGTCCAGAGAGCATAACTTTAGAAAAGACACAAAAAGATTATTCCTCTGCCTTCAGTCTGGTTTTACATGAAAATGAATCTAATATTTATAAAATACAATAATGTAAAGAGTTGAAATATCTAAACACAACAGAAACAACATAAATGGATATGAGAGAAATCTACAAACCATTTAGCTTTACCAACTACATCCCAGAACCCAGGTCGTGGTATATTACATGGTCCAACAGTGGCCTGTTTATAGTAGCTGTAGAACTTGAGCATCATGTCATTTGAAGGCTGAAAGGGACCTGAAGAAAAACAGACACAAACACTGTATGCAAAATGTCTGCTTTTTTCAACAACAGGGTAGGAATCTACACACTGGATGGGGCCACATGAACAGACCGATTCTGCTGGTGTCTGCAGCTAAAGCTGATAAAATCACTCAAGCTGCTGCGTTTCACCTGGCACCAGCTGAAGTTGGCCTCTGATAGGGTACTGAGCTTAAGAGCCATTTCAGAGCTTTTAAAGAATAAAGTTTCAGATCTAAAACACTTAGATGAGCTGGCTTCTTCAAATTATTGTCTACTTCCACCTCCCACTTTTCAAAGAGTTCTGACTGGACTCATCTCTCTAACCAGGTTACTTTTTTGCCATAAGAAAGGTAACTTTTTTTTCTTTGGGGCATCGCTCATCAATCCTGTGTATTACATCTTATAAAAACTGCTGGACGCTTAAATCTAGGTTACAGAGTTGCAAGGTTTATGATTTTATTTTATTTTTTTGTTATTTAAAAAAAAACTCAGAAAAAGAGGACTATGATAACTCTTTGGTGATAAGGTTGAATCTGTGGCTGCTCCTTTTAACAGGCTGACAAACAGAAAATGTGTCTTCAAAAGTATTAAGACCTCAGAGGTTAATGAACAATAGTGAAAAAACAAAACACTAGGATGAAGACCAAGGTGGATAGCAGACAGGTCGGGGGGATGTGGTGAAATTTCAAAGCAGGGTTAGGTTATAAAACACTACATTTTCACAGAGTTTTGTTTGATCAGTCATCTGAAAATGGAAGGAGGATGGGACACCATAACAGGGCAACAAATTAGCTAAGAGGCTCATGGTAACTTAAGGAGCTATGGAGATCCAAAGCTCAGGTGTGATAATCTGATGATAGGACCAATATTATTCATGGACGCCACAAATCTGGCCTTTAAAACTCCCCTATTATGGATAATTCACATAAACATTTTCTAATAGTCATATGTGACCTGAAGCCTGCGTATGAGGTTCACCAAATGGAAAAAAAACTAAAAAAGATTCCTCCTTGCCTTTCTTCACGTCTTAGTTAATGTATGCTCAAAATGCTCTGTTTGAAAATCATTCCCCTTATGATGTCATAAAGAAACAAGCTGTGGATCTGTAGCAGCCAATCCGGCAAGCCATGGCCTTTATCTAATGTGTTGACCCCGAACTCCCCAAGCAGGAAAGTGATAGTTTTATCTGTTTTAATTATGTATAAAAAAAAAAAAATAAAAAAAAAAGATTTGTAAAATAATTGTTCGTTTCAGCCCTAAATGCACCAGGGAGCGTTATCACAGATCTTTCCTCCCGGCAGCTGTAAGACTTTATAACCATCACTGTTCCCAACAAACTCAATAAGTTGTTACATTGATGCCGTTTTTTGCAGTTTCTGTCTTAGTCAGTTAAAAACAAGCTGCTGGCATTTTCTTTCTTTTTTTTTTTTTTTGCACATCTCTGGTGTTGCTGCTATTTTTCCATTACTGAAAAAAAAAAAATTCCACAGCTGTTATGGATTTGTCATTCTCCAGATACAGAGTATTTATATTGTAAAAACACTGTACAGTACAATACTTTACTGTGTTTTATTTTCTTATCTGTTATTTCTATACACTTTTCTAAGGTGTACATTGTGTGACCACTTCTGCTATAACCAGTTGCTGCAGTAACGCCACAATTTTCCCATTGTGGGACAATAAGGGATTTTCTATTCCATTATATTTCACATAAACTACAACCCCAACCTGCAGAAAAGTCCACCAGTTACTGCTAAAAACAAAAAAATGAATACACACACTGAAGTGTGTGACAGTATTTAAAAATATATATATATGTAGGAAAACCTTATAAACTAACCATATTTATTTAACATGAACAAGAGCTAATTTGTTAGAACTGTAAATTTACAGTCATATTACTGTTTTTATATATATATTTAGGATGAAATTGTTCAGAGAGCTGTTCCAAACGAAATTTCTTTTTGCTTTACACTTGTGTAAACAAAATGACTAATAAATTAGCCTACGTCTAACCTGATGACATGAAATGTGTGCAATATCCCTTTAATTGAGCAGTATATCAGATGTAAAATCAACGTGGTTTATGTGAAGCAGTTGCTGAGGCTGTCAGTGTCTCCCAGGAAGTGATGGGTCTTACTAACCGTTGGGGGGTAAACTCTTGATGACTTTAACCGCTGCCTCGAACCTTCTCTGGGTCAGACGTGTCTGTTCCTGTGCGCTGACACTCTCCACCTCCATAATGCCAATCTGGAGACAGCTAGCAGGAATATCCGCCTAACCAGAAGTAGAAGAAACATAAAACAGACGCTGGTCTTTGGGTTCGCAGTCTGTGTTTTGACCGACAGTAAGAGGATTGAACCAGCTGAGAATGTAGGACACAATAAGTGCCCTGCCGCACAGGGTTAGCTGCGGCCAGCATTTACGCCAAGTTACACAAATGTGTGAAAATATTCAAAGTAAAAACACTAAAAAAGACATTACTCACCTTTAAACTATTTGTTTATCTATCGGTCAGAGCGTAACTTGCCCTTAGCTCTGAGACTGACGCCATAAACAGCAGATGAAGCTAAACAATAATGCATCATGGGAGATGAAGTTTTCTCCTAACGGTAAGTCCTACAGACTCCACCACCTTTGGGGTTTGACCCCCAAAAAAGTAACTGAAAGGGCAGTTTAAGGGGTGTAATGAGACGATTTCATAGCTCTTAAATTTATTATTTCTGTGAATTAAAAACATGGTTAAATATACATGGTCGCTAGAGTTTACTAAGCATGGAACTACAATTCCCGGCATGCGTTATCACTTATCCCACTTTTTCAGATAAAACCGTAGGCGAATTTATGAGCAGTGAGAGTTCTCACTCTGTCTATTTTAGACTTGCCGAATTCGTTGTGACATGTAGAAATATTGACACAGATATAAAACAATTAACAAATTGCACACGTGCATGCCTAAGCAATGCACACTTTGATATTGAATTATTTTAAACATATCACTGTTTGGAATGCTTAGAATTTCTCTATGATAATCAAAAAACAACAACAACAATAACAATAATTTAATGTTATTATTATTATTGGATTGATGAATGAATGGTTGGGATTATAGCAGTATGACAGTATTGATTTTAGTCTGTATTTAATGTTAGTCTAATTATTTTTGATTCATATCAGTTTGCATATGAATGTAAATATTAATCTGGGTATTCTATTGAAATTGTAAATATAATTTCTCTGTTATATTAAACTATTATTCAATTCATAAAGTTCCATATTTAAATTTCACATATTTCACATTGAAATGACATTTAACCTAATATTTCATCAAATAAAAAAATTACACTGATGGTATTCCACTGTAAAAGTTAAGAACCTGTACAAGAACATTTAATTTAAAATATATATATATTATTTAGAGAGTAAAAGATGGAACAAGTAGTTGTTAACTGTTAAAAGGAGTCCATAAATATATCTGTAATTGGAAAAAAGCATAATATTATCTAAATAAATGATAAAAACACGTTTGTTTAAAAAAAAAAAAAGCAGTACTCGAAACCTTAACTCTAGGTGGCACTCTTTCTTTGTGTTTGGTTTTCTTTTAACCACACTGTAAACAGGACTGAATAAACAAATAGATACATAAATAAACTAGCAATACTCCAAACATTTTTAACGAAAATCAAAATAATTTTCTAAGTTTTTATTTTACTGCAAACACATTAAAACTTCAGAAACGTCACAGAAAAAAGCCATTCATTAAAACAATATATTTTCCCTACTTTTCTTGGCCAGAATATATTTAAAAAAAATGTTTTTTGTATTCTAAAAAGAAAATCAAATCACTACTTATGTTTAAAGCTAGTTTCTGATGCGAGAAGTGAACCACCATTAAGTTCACGGACAGCGTGTGCAAAACCTAAGCGAGTTTTTAACGGGTTAGTGAAACATCTTCGTTTTATCAGACGATCTTCGGTTTGAGTTCAAGCGAAATCGGGGCCAGGAATCCCACAATAGCAGGCGGAGGAAGATAGTTTCTTTTTCTTTTTTTTCCTGTCAGTGCTGTGGGCTGGTAGCTGCTTCAATCATAGGGAAGGCAGAGAGAGGGAAGGGAGGCTCTGCAGGGAGAGATGTAAGATGGCAGAGCTACAAATGTTGTTGGAGGAAGAGATTCCAGCCGGGAAGAGAGCGCTTGTGGAGAGTTACCAAAACCTGACGAGAGTAGCCGACTACTGCGAGAAAAATTATGTCCAGGTAAGAAAGTTTATTTAAAAAACGGACCTATTGGATTTGGAAAACACTTTTAGAGCTTTCCCCGTGTGTGTGAGGTTGTTGGGACAGGAAATATGGATCTACTAACTACTCTCTGGAGCGAATTATATCTTGAAAAGCTTTGAGTTCAGTTAAGAAATCTAAAGGTGGTGCATTTAGGACCGTGGGACATTCGAGCTCTTTGTGATTCTTGAGAATAAATGTTCTCAGTTTAGGCACGGGGTGTGTCTACTTTTTTTTTTTTTTTTTTCTTGTCATTGAACCGGTTGAGTTAAAAAACTGCCACCACTCTCACCATGGACGAGGCCCGTTTGTTTTAACAAATCTTACAGGCACGGTTTTCTAAACGCCTCTTCCCGACATGTTAAAGTGTTTGACATATTTTATCGGTAGTGGATGTAGTGGTGAATATTTCACTAGTCAGCAAAATTACGAGCTTGCATGTCAGCTCTTTTTAGGGTCATTAAACACACCATTTAATACCACAAAAACAGTTAAAGTGTCCACAGGGAACCCATTACAGCAGTGGCATGATAATAATGTCTGCACTACTCGTGGCTTTTTTTTGTTGCTGCATTATTTTAATGTGAATTTTAAAGATGTTTGTTTGACTTTACTGCAAAATCAACCACAAAATCCTGACATGGAAAAGACCACTTTCTAATTTTTTTTTTTTTTTTGTTGGAATTATTTTATTTATTTATTTTTAGTATACCTTTTCTAAGAAAACAAGACTTCTAGAATTATGAGGTGACATGACATAAGACAAGATGGGAACTTATTTCAATACAGCCATTGGTGAAATTCTTTATTTTTGGTCTTTTTTTTTTTTTGTATATTTTTAATTAAATCTCGCCTTATGGTGTATGTTGTTGTCCCTTCTATTAGAGGCTATAAAGGGTGTGACAATTGATTCCTGAGTAAAAAATGTCTGCCCTTCCCACACCTGTTGCTGTTCACTGAGACTCTGCTCTTTTTACCAAGCTGGTGCTTCCACTTTCTTACCCAATACTGCTTGCCGTAAATCAGTTGAATGCAAGATGGTTATTGCTATTTTCTTATTGATTCAAGGAACAAAAAGACAAACAAAAAAAAATAAAAATAAATAAATTGGCCTCTTCATTACAAATAATATAGACATAGGAATAGCCCCATCATCAGCCAGAGATCTAAATTAACCAATTGGACCAATCTCAGCTCTAATTGGTAAAGAGCAATTTGGTTAAATGTAAAAAAAAAAAAAAAAAAAAAAATTAGTAAAAACTTACCCTCTCTATCCTCTGTTCTTTTAAAATATCTAAGAGCTCCAAACATTTTTGGTCTGCAATGCCTTAACTAGGGCTGAAACAATGAATCGGATTAATCGATTGAAATAATCGTCAACTAACTTAGCAATCGATTAATCCTTAACTTGAGTTTAGAGACTCTAAAACAGGCCTTTAGCTGACAGAGCGACCCACTTGGAGCCGTCATTGTTAAAAATTGTCAAGAAAATATTTAAACATATTGCATTTGAGGTATGAAAACCTTTTGGTCTGTCAATATTCTCTATCCAGAACTCCTCAGATGTAAAAGCTTTAGTTTGAAGTGGTTTGATTTTGTAAAAAGTCTTCTTTAAGGAACACTCGATTAATCGAAGAAATAATTAAAGGATTTCCAAAATAATTGTTAGTTGTAGCCCTACCGTTGGTTAATGTTGAAGGATTTTTTCCTCTATAAAAATCAGAGAAATTAATATTTTTATGCATAACAAGGGATAATCTTGTAATAATTCCTCAAAATAGATAAATTTCAAACCAAAATCTTTAAAAATTCTCATTTTTTACATCGTCACCATGGACATGCTTTTTATTATAAAAACATTAAACCTGGCACAGTTTTTTCGTAAATGACTGCTGATTTCTGTGATCTAAAATTGTTTCTTTTACACTTTTTGATGTATTAATCAAAGTTCAACACAAAGTTTTACACATCCTTTACAGTTTGAATGTTTTTTTCTCTTTCTTTAAAAAAGGACTCCCGTCTTTTAAAAAATATTCACAGTTCAACATCTGTCAACTTCCAGGTTAAGAAAAGCTTTTAGACTTTTTTCAGGTTCATTTCAGGAAATGTTCTGCTTTTAGGTCGTGTGTGTTTCTGCCATAATTCTGCCAAATGATTCTACCCTAAAAAATCTTCAGACGATTCAATTGTTTTCTGCAGTTTGAAGTTTCAGATTACTTCATATCACATTTTCACTCAGCAGAAAAAAGCGTTCCTACTACCATTATTATTATTGTTTGTTTTACTTCTGGCTTAACTGGTCAGACCTCCAATTTAACCAAATGTCAGTAAAACCAGGGCAGACTGGAAAGGACAGACTTCATTATCAAGGATGTTTGGTGATATTTTAAGCATAGTTATTATGAAACCCTCAGCATTTGGTCAATAGATCAAATCCAGACAAAGTTAGCAGCAGAACTGCTGCATTACTTCCCCTTATAATCAGCCTACCAGTAAGCCCCAGTGGGCATGACCCCACTCTGCAGCCTGCACAGTTCTAACCATTCCTGACAATCCTGGAGGGAAGAACTGAGTGTGGGGGGGAAAAAAACAGACTGGTTGTTTGGGTGAACTAGTTTACTTTTAGACTAGAGATCAACAGATATTTTTGGCTGATATTAGTGAATTTTCTTTTGTTATTTTGTTTATTACATCAGCTGATGTGTGCACACTTTTGCTTATTCAACAGTGCATTCATTACCATGTCATCAGGGTTTATTTTTCGTTTAAATTAAAACTTCTGTAACATTTAATATCATTGCGTTAGGAAAATCCATCTTTAAGAATAGGTCCCAAAAAGAAATCTGCATAAAATAAACAACCTTGGATTGGTTGATCTCTAATTTAGACTGCCCTCAGTGCCAGTTAGGGGAAAATCATACAACTATATATAAGCCTATGAAAGCGGAATATGTCATTTACTTGTTTTAGGAGTGGAGAAAATGTGCAGAAGCCAATCAGATGGAAAAATTGAAAGAAAAAAAAGAAAAAGCCTGGTCTATGTTTAGTTTTGTGACTGTCAGCCTAATTTTTGCCATCGTTTTTTTTTTTTCATAAAGCTTCCTTAAAACATGTAGGACTGAAGCTCCCTTAAAATGTGACTCTCAGCATTTCAGAATCTAATCAAATAGATAGAAAATATTAGATATTTTCTTAACGGCCTTGATTCTTGTACATGCTGTGATACTTGGTGCCAAATACAAGCAGAGAAGTTTCTTAAGTTGGCTTTTAAAGACCGGTTTCATTCAGTCCTGCGGTGGAGGCATTTTGTTGGAAAAAGATAAAACTC